GTTCTTTTGTTGAGTCAAACTCAACAACGCCTAGTTAAGTACTTGTTACTTAAATGCTTATTATTCTCACTTTTGTTAATTATACGTAATTATACATAACAACAATTAATTAAATATTTACGAATGTAGCCAACTGTTATTAATTAATACTCGTTTCACTGCGAATACAGCCGTCTCAATTGACTATCTTGTAATTTTTGACAAGTAAAATAAAGACAAAATGAATTAAAAGTGTCAAATATTTGACGCGATCTGTCACAAACTTTAAACTTACAAATTCGTAAATGTTTTGAAGTCATATAGTAAAGGTAGATTTATAAACTTGTCGCTGACGTTACTGTTCGCCGTTGACGTTACCGTTGCAAGATAAATACGCAGCGAAGGTATGCGTCGTTTATATCATCCGTTGACATTGCCGTTGACGTTGGGTTTTCAACCAATCAAATTGCGGTAGTGGGCGGTGCTTCCAACTTAAAGGAAAATCAATTTTCCAATTAGGCTCCGCCCCTCGCTCTGACAACGAATGAAAAATTCATCACAGCACGATACTCAAAAACATGTTTTTTATTTCTTGTGGAGAAATAACGATTTTGCAATTAACCTCCGCCCTCTTGTCTCACGACAAATAAAAAAAATCATCACAATTGAGATAGGGCGGGTGGGCGGGGCTTATATTTTGCCTTTTTTTCTTAATATACATAGTCATCATTTCACAACAAGAAACTTAAAACATGGTTAAAATGGTACATTTTTGCAAGTAAATATAGATTTTGCTATTATGGGGCGGAGCGCACTTGCAAAATCGATATTTCCTTATACAAATTTTCCATTTTTAGATATTTTTAAGTTTCATGTTGGGAAAAGTAGTCTAAAAATATTAAAACAAAAAGGCAAAATATAAGCCCGCCCACCCTCCCAACCTCAATTGTGATGATTTTTTTTTATTCGTCATGAATCAATGAAACTTAACTGCAAAATACTTATTTCTTTACAAGGAATTAAAAACATATTTTTAGTATCGTGTTGTTCAAAGAATACCATGTATATTAAGAAAACAAGGCAAAATATAAACCCCGCCCACCCACCCCCTCTCGATTGTGATGATTTTTTTTATTCTTAGAAACTTAAAACGGGTTTAAAATGGTAAATTTTTTGTAAGGAAATATGGATTTTGCAATTAGGCTCCGCCCCTATGTCTACCAACGAATGAAATCTTCATTACTATTTAAATCAGGGCAGGTATGAGTAGGGCTTAATCTTTACTTTTATTATTATTTTTTTTTAATATATGTACATAGTATTCTTTGAAGAACACGATACTCAAAAACATGTCTTACATGGTAATTTCCTGCAGAGAAATAATAAGGATTTTGCAATTATTAAATTTTGCTTGGGCTCTCGACGATTAAAAAAAAAATCATCACAATTGTGATAGGGCGGGTGGGCGGGGCCTTTATTTTGCCTTTTTTCTTAATATACATAGTCGTTTTTTCAGAACAAGAAACTTAAAACATGTTTAAAATGGTAAATTCTTGATGACAAATATAGATCTTACAATTAAGCCCCGCCCCTCGATCTGACAACGAATGAAAAATTTATTACAATTGAAAATTGAGATCAGGGCGAGAATGGGTGGGGACTAATCTTTGGCTTTATTTTCTTCTTAATATACCTAGTATTCTTTGAACAACACGATACTCAAAAATATGTTTTTAATTTCTCGCAGAGAAATATGCAGTTAAGCTCCGCCTTCTTGGCTCACGACGAATAAAAAAAAAACATCACAATTGAGATAGGGCGGGTGGGTGGGGCTACATTTTGACTTTTTCTCTTAATATGTGTAGACTTATTTCGACAAAAAGAAACTTAAAACATGTTTAAAATGAAAAATTTGTATAAGGAAATATCGATTTTGCATTTAGGCTCCCCCCCTTAATTGAAAGATCCATATTTCCTTCCAAAATGTACCACTTTAACAATGTTCTAAGTTCCTTGTTGTGAAAAGATGGCAATGTATATTAGTAAAAAGAAGGCAATATATAAGCCCCGCCCACCCGCCCTATCTCAATTCTGATGATTTTTTTTTATTCGTCGAGGGGAAAAACTGGAAAATGTAACATTGAAAAATCAAAAAATAGGAAATTCGGAATGGAAATCTAAACATTGCAATCGAGAAATTGAAGAGTCGAAAAATTAACAAACTGAAAGTTTCAAAAATCGAAGAATCCAAAAATCGACCAAAGGAAAAATTAGAAGTCGAATAATTCTAACATCGAAAAACTGAAATATAGAAAAATCGGAAAATTGGAAAAAGAAAAAATTGTTGCTGAAAAATCGAAATGTTGAGCAGTCGAAAAATTCAAAAATCGGGAAAAATCGAGAAACTGAAAAATTAAAAAAAATGGCAACGAGATACCCAAAATTCACAAAATAATAAAACTAAAAAATTAAAACTGAAAAAATCGAATAATTCTAATATCGCAAACGGAAAAACTAAAATTTAAAAATTCTAAAACCGAAAACTGAAGAATCAAAAAATTGACAAATCGATAAATTCAAAAACCGAAAAATCGAATAATTTGAAAATTAAAAGTCGAGTAATAAAAAAATCGAATGTACTGAAATGGAAAAATTGGAAAATTGAAGAATTGAAAAATCTAGATATTAAAAAATGAAATCTTGAAAAATCGAGAAGTTGAAAAATCAAACAAATGAGGGACGAAGTTTATTTGTAAAATCCTTATTTTTCTACGACAAATTACCATGTGAAATATGTTCTTTAGTAATCGTGTTATACAAAGAAAAATAAATGTATTAATTAAAAAAGAAAACCAAAAGAGAAGCTCCACCCATCCGTCTCGTTCTCAATCGAGATGAATTTTTCATTCGTTGTCAGACTGAGGGGCGGAGCGTAATTGCAAAATCGATATTTCCCTCTACAAATTTACCATTTTAAACATGTTTTATGTTTTTTTGTTGTGAAAAGATGACCACACATTAAGAAACAAGGTAAAATATAGCCCCGCCCACCCGCCCTATTTTGGGATCAATTATGATGATTTTTTTTTTATTCGTCGTGTGCCAAGAAGGCGGAGCTTAACTGCAAAATCCTTATTTCTCTATGAGAAATTAAAAACATGTTTTTGAGTATCATGTTGGTCAAAGAATACTATGTATATTAAAGAAAAAAATAAAGCCAAAGATTAGACCCCACCCATAATAATTTTTCATTTATTGTCAGATCGAGGGGCGGGGCTTAATTGCAAGATCTATATTTGTCTACAAGAATTTACCGTTTTAACCATGTTTTAAGTTTTTGTTCTGAAAATGCGACTACTTATATTAAGAAAAAAGGGAAAATATAAGCCCCGCCCACCCGCCCTATCTCGATTGTGATGATTTTTTTTAATCGTCGAGGGCCAAAGGAGCAGAATTTAATTGCAACATTTTTATTATTTTTCTACAATAAATTACCATGTAAGACATGCTTTTGAACGTCGTGTTATTCAGAGAATACTAACCATGTATACTAAGAAAAAATTAAAGCCAAATATTAAACCCCACCCATACCTGTCCTGATCTAAACAATAGTGAAGTTTCATTTGATAGCAGACCTAGGGTTGGAGCTTAACTGCAAAATACTTAATTCTTTACAAGAAATTAAAAATTTGTTTTCGAGCTTTGTATTGTTCAAAGAATACTATGTATATTAAAAAAAAAAGGCAAAACGTAAACCCCGCCCACCCACCCTGTCTCAATACTGGTGATTTTTTTATTCTTAGAAACTTAAAACACGTTTCAAATGGTAAATTTTTGTAAGAAAATGTGGATTTTGCAATTAAATTTTTCTCCTTTGGCTCTCGACGATTAAAAAAAAAATCATCACAATTGAGATAGGGCGGGTGGGCGGGGCTTATATTTTACATTTTTTCTTAATACGTATACATAGTCGGCTTTGAAAAACAAGAAATTTAATAACAAATGTTTTTTCTTATACTCAAATATACACGATACTCAAAAACCTGTTTTTAATTTCTCGTACAGAAATAAGGGTTTTGCAGTTAAGCTTTACCCTCTTGGCTCACGACGAATAAAAAATTCATCACAATTGGGATAGGGCGGGTGGGCGGGGCTATATTTTGCCTATTTTTCGAAATATGTGTAGACTTATTTCGACAGTAAGAAACTTAAGCAGACTCAGTCATTTCTGAGCACACGGTAGCAATTTCTTTCCGGTGATTTTCACAAAATTGTTATTAACGTATTGTTACGATTTACGTCGTGGGTAAAACACAACAATCGGTTTCTCAGTAATACAAATTTACATGACTATCTACACTGCGAAAATGTAACAGCGAATAATTTCAACTCACCTTGACTGATATGCATTAATCGAGTCTACTGGATAAGACTAGACTAGTCTGCCCCCAAATGCCCCTAAGTCATACTTTCTTCTGAACAGATCGCGATCGCCGGTTTCGAGGTTGTTCTGGAGCCCACCATCTTCCCCAGATGTCCGGTAAACCGCTTCTAGCGTTTATTCGAACAACGCGGTCGCCGATAATGATAACTTTTGAAAGTTATTTTTGCATAATTATGACTAGTCGAAACAACGATTTTGAAAGTGATTTTTAGAAAGAAACGTACAGTCTTTAAATAGTGAAATATCTGTTGGCATAATACGCAAGATCTCTCCAATAAAAAAAGTGGTCGAAAGTTATTTCGACAGAACTTCCCTCCCTCCTGAAATACAACAAAACAAATCCAGCGTTTTCGAAAAATTTTTATTATGATTAATTTATAATAATTTTAATTATGCGAATTTTATTTTTTATGAGAAATTTTATAAATTTTTAAAGAGTTCTGTAGAAAAAGCCTGCACCCACGTTTTTCATTTATATGTGTAGGTGCCTAAATCTTTGATGGTATTTACGTTTCCTGCTCCGTCCTTATGAGGTTCACTGAGCACAGAGCTAAATATTTACCCGTAATATTTTCAGGCAAAAGATGATGAGCTGGAGCAAGCTGTCGAGGCAGCTTTGGAAGCAGGATATCGGCATATCGACACAGCTCACGTATACGAAAATGAAAAAGTTATTGGAAAAGTTCTGAGTAAATGGTTTTCCTCTGGCAAACTAAAGAGTAGTGCAATGTTATCAGTGTGAAAAGTTTACATTTTATCGCGAAAATACATTACAGGGCAGGATATTTTTTTGGTGACAAAATTACCCCCTGGAGGTAATCGTCCCGAATCTGTTCCAAAGTACCTCAAGAGGTCGCTCGAACTGCTTCAAGTTGAATACGTGGATCTATATTTAGTGCATGTTCCCTTTGGATTTAAAGATGTAGAAGGTGATTTGCATCCCAGAACTCCTGAAGGACTTATTGATATGGATACCGAAACGGATCACGTGGCTTTATGGAAGGTAGAGATTTAAATTAGGTAGTTCTAAATGAATTTATTGGTGAAAACGTCGCGGTGATAGGCTAGGATAATAAGATACCCGTTTTATCACAAAAATGTATTGATTTGTCAATAAACAATTTAATTTCTTAAATAAGATCTTAAATATAAGTGTATATTTTGTTAGGCATTTGTTTGCAATACTTTTATTTTAAGTATTAAACTAAGTTAAATTGATTGTTGACAAAAAATTCCTAGTATCTACTAAGTGAATTACTTTCTAATGTCAAAATTTAAAAAAATTGTATTGCATATTTTGTTCGCTGTCTTAAGCTTTGTATAATAAGCGTTAAACATTGTTGTACAAGTTGTATTAATTTTTCCTCTTGCTTTAAGTTCTTTACTTTTTCAAGACATCTTGTTTTTCCGTTGCTATTCATTCACTCTTCGCTGCTCTTTGACCTATTCTTTAGATCTGAACTATTATCTCATCATTTGCGTTGTTTTCTTTTTGGCTCCATGAAGCATCTGCCAATTTTAAATCTTGCATATTTTAAGGTGGAATTATTAAAATTACTTTTATTGATTCCCTTGTGCACAGTACTGAAAGATTCCTTGAAACTTCTAATTACTCCCAAGGTTGCAATATCGCGTGTAAACACGTAATGACTTCCCAGAAATGAGTGAATGTTCCAGCCATTATCGTTAAAATGCAACTCCTTGGATTCAATCTGTTTTTCCTATACTTAGGCAATGGAAGCTCAAGTTGATGCCGGTTTAACAAAAGCAATAGGGATTTCGAACTTCAACAAAAATCAGATAGAAAAGATTCTGGAAAATGCTAGGATTCCTCCATGTAATTTGCAAGTGGAGCTTCATGCTTACTTGCAACAGAAAGATTTGGTCGAATTTTGCAAGAAGAATAAAATCGTTGTGACGGCCTATTCACCGTTGGGATCCCCGGGACTGGCTAAATTTATGGCTCAATTTGGTCGAACGTAATCATTTCTTCTGCATGTTGTAACGTATAACTTAATTCTGTTTCAGGATTGATTTACCAGATATTTTGAACAACCCAGTGGTTCAAACGATTGCAACGAAACACAAGAAAACGGAAGCGCAAATCGTCCTTAGACATGCAATACAGAAGGATATCGTCGTGATTCCGAAGAGTACAAATCCGAAACGTCTTCGTGAAAATATTTCAATTTTTGATTTTCGTCTAGATGACTCAGAAATGAAACAATTGAATGATTTAGATCAGGGGCTTAGAATCTTGAATTTCATGATTTTTCAAGGGTAACTTCGTGCATAGGTTACGTTATTGTTCGTTACAAATCTATTGTTTTAGGATTCAGAACCATCCGGAATACCCTTTCAAAGCAGAGATCGGTAAACTTTAATAAAAAATTTATTGTTTCGTTAACGATATGATGCACAGACAATACAGGAAATTATTTTCGTTGTAGTTTGGTGTTTATAAGTATAACTAGGTAGTAATTTTATTGTTTTTTTGCACCTAATTGACTTTTCCTTAACTATGATATGCAAATTTAGTAAGACATCACTTTAAAAATTCAAGCCTTGCAGTCTTAAAAATAGGACCTGCAATATAAAACTGCTAGAAAAGAACATTTAGAGAAGACACTCTTTAATGAACAGTAAGCGTAAAAAGTGTCTTCAAATAAATAACAATTATGTGTAGGTAACAATAATTAACAAGGTTGTCTTAAATACTACTTTCTTTGATAGAACAATCGTTATGAAAATTCCTAGTTGGAGTAACAGAGTTTAATTCCGATGTAGACGGATCATATTCTTCTACGGTAATATGAACACTGTTAGTTTCATCACGTGCGTTCTGATCATCAAGTTCTTTGTTTAAATTATTTTCATTATTAACTTCCGTATCACTGACATTATCAACGAGGTTTTGTTCGTTGTATGTATCCATGTTACGCATCTCGATATTTTCGGGTTCGTTCAACATTCGTCTATTGTATGTCCTAAACATTAAACTAACTTCACTGTAAGAAGGCGGAAGATCGTTGCTTTTGTCGCCAAATATGTCTTCGTACGCAGGCGGTGATACTCCCAGAGAGGTTGGAGAGAGCCCCTTGCTTGTGGTTTCCGAATCGAGAATACTGGGCGTACTCCCAGTTTGGTACCTCTGGGCTCGAATCAGATTCGCACTGAGTTCCATGAAGTCGATACCCGTATGGTCCGCTTGCAACTGGGCAAAAACAGCTCTATCGACAACCAACATTCTTCCATAAGGTAAAAGGATTATTGTCGGCGTTGTTGACTCTCCCGCCGCGCTAGCTGTAAAGAAAATTTTTATTAAAATATATTGATTGCGTGTAAATATTTTTTAATCATACAATTCAGTGGGTGGGAAAGTTCTACCAGTTTTCTGTATTCAAATTCAAGACACTGTTAATGACAGCGCAGTCTGTTTGAACTCAATGAAGAAATCGTAATTTAAGCGAAGTGTAGTGTGATACTTAGTTTAAAAAGTAAAACTGTGGAAACAAAAGTACTTGCATTCTTGGTTTAATAATTTTTATCTTGAAGTAGCGTCTTCAAAGAATAATGTTAAGTCAGGTAGAACTGGGAGACACCAAATTTTCTTTAAATTTTTTATTGTACCACGTACACAAAATAAACGTAACTTCAGACAGTGTTTTCCAAGAGTACATAAATTAGAGCTGTATTTAATAATAAAATAACTTTGTATTAAATGGGATCGTCAAACGTTTACAAAACTGCTTCTACCTGGAAGTAGAATAAATTTTACGTAAGTATTGTCCGAAGGGTAAACCGCAGAGGAAATCAACTGTATACGTGTATCAAAGGAAATCACAGGAAATCAAAGGAAAGCAAAAGGAAATCAAGAGGAAATCAACGAGGAATCAAGAGGAAATCAATGAGAAATTAACGAGAATTCAACAACAAAACAAAGGAAATGCAGAATCATCATACCAAATCCAGTTAAACTAGATATTTTCTAGAACTAATAAACGTAACATGTGCGACATAAGTCATCGCATTCATCATAAGAAAGAAAATATCAATTTAATCTTACAAGTGGAGATTAAATAACCTTTTCAGGGGATAATGACAGAAAATTCCAGTATAATATCAGTAACTGACAGCATGATATTTCAGCTTGACAAATATTAAAGTTGCAGTTAATGAAGTGCAGTTCCGATGAGAAATGATACATTATATTGCTTTATACCTACAAACCAAATTTATAATTTCACCCCAAATTAGTTTTTAAAAATTGAGTTTGTGATATGAGGTACCAAATTCATTAAGTTCAGGTCGTGCAAAAATCTTACTAATGATATGTTCTTGCCTTGGAGGTTTAGCTCTCAAACTTGTGAGAGTATGTTTAGAAGCCTTAGATCAATGACCTCAACTTTTAGCACAATTGTTAATTTTAGTAGGTATGAGAGATATGTTGCATCGAAGTGACAGACTGCTAACTATAAACAACATTAAAAACGATTTGGATAAAAAATTCGTTTTTCTTAAAGAAATCAGGAAAAAAAGTTCAATCACGAACAGAGATTTTGTGAAAAATGATGACTTGGGAAACATTTCAGATAAAGATATACAAAGCACCGTAGAATAAGCTTTACGGGATTGTCTGCGTGACACTGAAGATTTAGGAATGAAAGTGATTGATTTCAACTATGTATTGTCTCCGTGTAAAGAAAATGAATGCAATGACGAAGTTGAAGATGAAATATTTAGTGAAGAACAAATTGAAAATTACAGCAATTCTCAAATAACCATGAAACGTAACTTTTTTCAAAGTTTGGAAAACGATCCAGTTGACCAAGATGAAGATTTACTGAATGATCTTTGCACAATTTCGTACGAATCTAAGAAATTTGACAGAGACATACACCTTAGAAGTTTTGATAGTGACGATATTTTTGTTGAAAAAGGTGATCTAGTCAGAATACGCTTAGATAATACAACAAAAGTTATAAAAAAGTCTTCACTTTGCTGGCTGTTAGACAATGAAAAGGATCGCGTCAGTGTGGATCGTCTCAAAAGATTTATTCAAAATAAGAAATGTAATAGTAGTAGAGTTAACTCAGAAACAGATACCTGCCTTCAACATAAAGATGCATCTCAAATTCAAAAACCAGTCCAAATTGGAAAACAAAAAAGACGCTATAATATATCAAGTGACTCATCTGATTTAGACAACCCAAGTAGTATCGAATATGATGACAGCACGGACACCGAAAGTTTGAATTCTTCCAATTATTCTGATGATTTGAATCCTCGTTTGAATCTCAGGGCTGAAAATAGTAAGGCTGATCGTTCTAAACCAGACTTAAATATAGACGATTATATTATAGTACAATTAACAACTCAAAAACAAAACAAAAAATGTTGCATTAGTAAAGTGTCATCACTTAACTCTATTTTTTGTGATTTTTTGACAAGGAATCCAAAAATTCCGGATGCTTTTATGTTTCCGGACATTAAAGATCAGGGGGAGATCCAAGAAAATGAATATATAATGAAACTACCTCCACCTCAGGTACTCAGAAGAGGCAGTTTAGTTTTTGAAAAAAAATTATTGAAAAAATATTTGATTTAATTCTAGTTTTTTTTTTAAGTGATGTGATTAAAATTTGTGATAATGTAACCTCAACCTGGGTCGAGATTTGTACAAGTATATATCGTAGAGAATGCTAAAGTAAGAAACTGTGCAAAATTCTAGGTGCCCATGAACACTTTTAAATGGGAAAATTACCTCTGAAAATTTATCAAGTGGGGTTATCCACTCCTTTATTGTGCAAAAAAAAAAAAATTCTTACGTGTTAAATTTTGCATTTCAAAAGTCTTTTTTCTAATATGCTTTATTTGAAAGTTGTGAACAAAAAATTAAAAGTGTTATCATCTGTATTTATGGGTAGCTAGAATTTAGCACAGTTTTTTACTTCAACATCATCTACAATATATACACAAATCTCGACCCAGGTTATGGGATAAGTATTTTTTAAGAAGTTGTTTTATTTTGTGATATTTTGTTATGATCCAACAGAAATGCTTTACTTTTATGTTTAGAGTTACCGTTTTTTTTAACATTTAATAAAAAAAATGAAACTACTTGTTTTTTCTGTTTATGCTATCATAATAAATGAATAAAGCCAATTTTTAAAAAGTAATGACTTAAGTTATTATTATAAGTTTGATTTAGTAGGTCAAACTTTAACATGATCTTGTATTGAACCTAATAGAATGATTTTGGACTATTTGGTATTCATTAAGACCTCTGTGAACGTATGAGCCAGTCGCTGTTGCCTTATGAAGATGAGTCACTGATAAGTAAAAACTGCTGACGTAACTAAAAATATCCTGAGAGAGCCGAAATGCGGACAAAGAAATAATTTACTGAAATTATCCGAGTGTTGTCGAGAATCAGAATCTTCCTGGTTTATTATGAAACGGGAATACAGTTAATTGGAAAACTATCCATTATTTTTTTCCAGTCTTGAATAATCACTTCTTTACATTGAATTATAGGATTGGTGCGGAGGAACTCACAAAACACTGTACTTGGCATACAGGAGTTCATCCACTTCATATATTTTAATCGAGTGATCTAGATTTAGTTTTATTATGAACTGTATCACATAGAAAAAATAAAATATTCCTTGGTTTTGTGAAATTGAAATACTTTTTAGAAAAACACCTCTCCGAAAAAGGGGTCGATAAAGACTGCAGAGGGACGATTGGCCCCTGTTTTCAAATCATGTAGGAGTTCATCTTACATGTGTATTTTGATATTTCTGTAGACAACAGATTGACAACAAATATCTGGAAAATGAAAAAGGTATTCTGTACTTACGGGGATATAGGATGAGAGTTTATAGAACTGAAATTTCATTACAATTTATTCTCATAGACTACGTGGGATGATATCTGTGGATTTTATCATATTCATTATAATATATACCTTTTTCATCTCAGGACTCAGCACTCATTTTTACTTCCCGAGCGTAAGCAAAGGAAGTATTGTAATCGAGTCCGTCGGCCGACTCTTTACTTTTACGTTTTCTCGATCTTCCATGACCCCTAGAAGACGAAGAAATAGGTCTCCCATTTCCGTCTGTCTGTCCGTCCGTCTGTCCGTCTGTCCGTCTGTTGTCCCGGATTTTTATTAGACAGATAATCTCCGAAAGTACTCGACCGATTGTTGTGAAATTTTGTACTTATATTAAGAATATCATGTAGATGGTAAAACGCTAACCAAAATTTGTCTAATCATCCCCACCACTAATGCGATGACGTCACTTCAAAATTGTACATAGTAAATGGGTTTTCAATTGTATAAAATAACATAGTCCTACACATGTAGTTTACAACTCTGAATCGACTTTTCACCCGAAACGTCCAGATTTTTGGAAAAAAAATCAAAATTATAAAACAACATTTTGAAATTTAATTTTTAATCTACTAACCAGAATGCTTTGAAATGTTGCAGATGTTTTAAGGCTATAAAGAGCATCATAAATCTTTAGTCAAAAAATATTTGCTTATCCCCTCCAAAAACTTGATGACGTCAGTTCAAAAGTTTGTGGAATAAATCATATCTAAAATGTACAAAATATGATGAGTCTGTACTTGTGATCTATCACTCCATTCATATTTTTTGGATTTGCATATACAGGGTGACTCAAAAAAATTAATGAATGCGTAAATATATTTTATTGATTTAATCAGGAACTACAAAACCGAATGCTCTGAAATCTTGCAGATGTTTTAAGGTCATAAAGAGCATAATAAATGTTTAGTCAAAATATATTTGCTTATCCCCTCCAAAAACTTGATGACGTCAGCTCGAAAGTTTGCCGAATAAATCATATCTAAAATGTACAAAATATGATGAGCCTGTACTTGTCATTTATCACTCCATTCATATTTTTTGGATTTGCATATACAGAGTGACTCAAAAAAATTAATGAATGCGTAAATATATTTTATTGATTTAATCAGGAACTACAAAACGGAATGCTCTGGCATCTTGCAGATGTTTTAAGGTTATAAAGGGCATAATAAATGTTTAGTCAAAATATATTTGCTTATCCCCTCCAAAAACTTGATGACGTCAGCTCGAAAATTTGCCGAATAAATCATATCTAAAATGTACAAAATATGATCAGTCTGTACTTGTGATCTATCACTCCATTCATATTTTTTGGATTTGCATATACAGGGTGATTCAAGAAAATAAATGAAAGCGTAAATTTATTTTACTGATTTACTCAGGAACTACAAAACCGAATGCT